TGCAGAACCTTCCGAAGCGGCGGTGCTCGCTTCAGCTCCTTGCGTGGTGGTGGCGCCTAGAAACGCACATTCGACCTGTCATGTCAGGGTCGAAGAAACCTTTGCCGAACTCTCCCTGTATCCTGAGGGCTCTACTGTAGAACCTCCAGAGGTGGCGGCATCCGCTGCAGAACCTCCAGAGGTGTCGGTAGTACCCACCTGTGAACTCTCTGCCTGTCCTGTTCCAGCCAAGGAGGCTGTCTATGAACTCTCTGCTCGTCCTGTTCCGGCCAAGGAGGCCGTCCATGAACTCTCTGCCTGTTCTGTTCCGGCCAAGGAGGCCGCCGAGGAACTCTCTGCTCGTCCTGTTCCGGACAAGGAGGCCGTCTATGAACTCTCTGCTCCTCCTGTTCCGGCCAAGGAGGCCGTCTATGAACTCTCTGCTCGTCCTGTTCCGGCCAAGGAGGCCGTCTACGAACACTCTGCTCATCCTGTTCCGGCCAAGGAGGCCGTCTACGAACTCTGTGCTCGTCCTGTTCCGGCCAAGGAGGCCGTTTATGAAGTTTCTGCCTTTAGTCTCCTCTTCAGCTGTTGAAATTCACGTTCAGTTGGATTTAAATCTGAAGATTGATTTGGGCAATCTAAGACTTCCCATTTATTTGCCCTGATAAACTCCTTGACTAAACTGGCAGGTTGTTTTGGGTCATTGTCCTGATGCAATATGAAGTGCTTCCCAATGAATCTGGTGGCATTTTCTTGAAAATTGGTAGCCAAGATACTGTATACTTCTGCTTTCATTCTGCTGCTGCCATCATACATTAAGTCATCATTAAAACTGAGAGGGCCTGTTCCAGAGACAGCCATGCATGCCCATGCCATGACACAACCTCCACCATGCTTTACAGATGAGGCTGTATGCCTTAAGATCATTTGCAGTTCCCTTTTTCTTCACAAGTTTGCTTTCCCATTACTTAGATAAAGGTTAATCTTTGTCTCATCTGTCCATAAATCTCTGTTCCAAAACTCTACTGGCTCACCTTTGTGCTTTTTTGCAAACTCTAATCTTGCCTTTCTATTTTTGGTGCTTGTCAGAGGTTTGCACCTTGCCGTAGCCTCTGTAATTCTGTGTCAAAGTCTCCTGCGGACAGTAGTCTGTCAGAGCATCACCCCAGCTTTCTGGAGGTTGTTGGTGATTTTACAGACACGTATTTTAGGGTTCACTTTCACAGCTTTTATGATTTGTCTGTCATCATCTACTGTTTTTTTTTCTCAGCTGATCAGGTCTTTGTTGGTTGCTGATGTCGCCGGTGGTCTCCAAACACTTGATTTCTCCTTGCCCTTTGTTTTTGCTATAGCTCTAATTAACTTCCTCTTTTCTTTTAGCATCCACATTGCTTGCTTTTCTCTCGAAGTCAGCTCCCTCGTCTTCATCCTGGTTTGTGTATGTCATTATCAAATGCAAGGCTCAGAATGCAGAAGCAATGGAAATAACTGATACGACACATTCCCTGCTTTTAATATCTGAAGAATTAATGCAGGATACAGCTGATCACTTAGAGAGACCTGTCCCAATACTTATGCTCACATCAGATAGGGGGATGAAACTCTAAAAGTGCTGATCTTCTTAGATGGTAAAACATCTATGTGTTGAAACACCAAATAATAAAATGTGACAGTTTGTAGTTTTGTCTCATTTTCATCATTCAAACATATTTACAGATTTCTTGACTCCACAGCAAACAGAGCAATTTTGTCTTTCTCACATTTTATTATTAGCTGTTTCAACACATACATGTTTTACCAAATAAAAAGGACAGCACTTTTAGAATTCATCCCACTATCTGATGTGAGCATAAGTATTGGGACAGATGAACTTAAGGCAGATGTAAAAGATTAAAAGCTATTATTTTGTTGCAGATCCCTTGCGTGCATTCAGAGCAGTGAGTCTGTGACCCATAGACATCACCAGACTCTTGGTCTCATCCTTTGAAATGCTTTTCCCAACCTTTAATGCAGCCAATTCCAACTGTTGCTTGTTTTGGGGAGTTTCTGCCTTTAGTCTCCTCTTCAGCTGTTGAAATTCACGTTCAGTCGGATTTAAATCTGAAGATTGATTTGGGCAATCTAAGACTTCCCATTTATTTGCCCTGATAAACTCCTTGACTAAACTGGCAGGGTGTTTTGGGTCATTGTCCTGATGCAATATGAAGCACTTTCCACTACTGTCATAATACATTAAGTCATCATTAAAACTGAGAGGGCCTGTTCCAGAGACAGCCATGCATGCCCATGCCATGACACAACCTCCACCATGCTTTACAGATGAGGCTGTATGCCTTAAGATCATTTGCAGTTACCTTTTTCTTCACAAGTTTGCTTTCCCATTACTTAGATAAAGGTTAATCTTTGTCTCATTTGTCCATAAATCTCTGTTCCAAAACTCTACTGGCTCACCTTTGTGCTTTTTTGCAAACTCTAATCTTGCCTTTCTATTTTTGGTGCTTGTCAGAGGTTTGCACCTTGCCGTAGCCTCTGTAATTCTGTGTCAAAGTCTCCTGCGGACAGTAGTCTGTCAGAGCATCACCCCAGCTTTCTGGAGGTTGTTGGTGATTTTACAGACACGTATTTTAGGGTTCACTTTCACAGCTTTTATGATTTGTCTGTCATCATCTACTGTTTTTTTTTCTCAGCTGATCAGGTCTTTGTTGGTTGCTGATGTCGCCGGTGGTCTCCAAACACTTGATTTCTCCTTGCCCTTTGTTTTTGCTATAGCTCTAATTAACTTCCTCTTTTCTTTTAGCATCCACATTGCTTGCTTTTCTCTCGAAGTCAGCTCCCTCGTCTTCATCCTGGTTTGTGTATGTCATTATCAAATGCAAGGCTCAGAATGCAGAAGCAATGGAAATAACTGATACGACACATTCCCTGCTTTTAATATCTGAAGAATTAATGCAGGATACAGCTGATCACTTAGAGAGACCTGTCCCAATACTTATGCTCACATCAGATAGGGGGATGAAACTCTAAAAGTGCTGATCTTCTTAGATGGTAAAACATCTATGTGTTGAAACACCAAATAATAAAATGTGACAGTTTGTAGTTTTGTCTCATTTTCATCATTCAAACATATTTACAGATTTCTTGACTCCACAGCAAACAGAGCAATTTTGTCTTTCCAATACTGTTCCAATTCTTATGGAGAGCACTATATATATCATGGGTTGCTACTGTGATGAGCACGGAGCGAGGAACGAGGAGATGCACATTCCAATTCAAACATACAGTCATATAATAATGTCCAAGGAAACAGGAAAACACACGTAGCAAAAGGTTTACATGAACAATTCCAGACAAGGGAGAACAGAACGGGCTCAAACTCAAATAGGGCAGATAACGAGGGGCAGACAGGTGAGGAGGATAACTGATTACAAGGAACATGTGACTACTAATAATGGGAATAGGAACCAAACCAAATAAGGACAAACATGAACATACACATGACATTACTCCCGCCCTGGAGGCTGTTGCAAGA